TGGAAGTTTTTAAGAAGAGACTGGACAGCCATTTGTCTGAAATGGTATAGGGTTTCCTGCCTGAGCAGGGGGTTGGACTAGATGACCTCCAAGGTCCCTTCCAACTTTTTATTATTATTATTATTATTATTATTATTATTATTATTATTATTATTATTATTATTATTATTATTATTATTATTATTATTATTATTATTATCTCAAGTTAAAGTTAACAAACTTTATAAAAATCAAGTTGCAGGGTCTTTGACCAACCTGATTAAATGTTTTTGCAAACTCATTTTCTAAGCTATGCCTCTGGGCTAAGAGCCATCTATTCAGTTGAACCGGAAGAGGTAATTGGCCACTAAGTATTTCTAAACACAGGTTTTTTTTCCCCCCTCAAGAGCCTTTCAAACACAAATCCAGAGGACTGGTTTATTTTTTGTAAAAAGTGATGTTCCTGGAACGGTATGTGAGAGACTGAGAACTCAGTTCAAAAACTGGTAAAAAAGGGACGGTCTGATCACATCACATTTGAATGGAGGTGATGCAACAACCAGATGACTGGGATGAGAAAATTAAATTCTTATAGCTCAAAATACATTGCAAATCAATTCTGTGAATGTCATTAGCTTTAAAACCAGAGTTTTGGGGAAGTCATAAAGGAAAGATTTGTCATCAATGAGTGCTGAATACAGTAAGTAAGTTACAGGCAAATATTGATTAACCCTAACTTGGGTTAGGTCATAATCCACTCATGAACCACATAGAAAACAACGTCCTGTTAACCGTAATTTAATGGGCAACCTTCCCTAGCAAAACAGGTTTAATGCAAATTTCAGAAACCTTCTCAATAGTAGGATGCTTTGTTTCAGAACGCCTTTTAACTTGGCAGATGTCAAAAATAGTTAAATATTAATTTAAAGGTATACTAATATGCAGTCCAGCAGCTTCCCAAAAACAAAAGACTTTTTTTTTGGGCAATGCTAAAGGCAGACAATATATTGCCAATTCATGGCAAGCCTTTTTAAAAGGACCAGAGGCAGAGGGGGGGTGGGGGGAAGAAGGGAATATTCTTTGAAATGTCGGATGTGATTAGGAGGCGTCTGATTGTAAAAAGTTCAGTTCAACGTTGGGTTAAAATAATGAAGGGGTCACCACGGCAAGGTGAATGCAAAGGAAAGTCCATGATGTTCCATATTTTCAAGTTTAAAAGTATCAGATATGGCAGTGGTGGCGAACCTATGGCACGCGTGCCAGAGGCGGCACTCAGAGCCCTCTCTGTTGGCACACGTGCCACCGCCACCAGCAGCAGGTCCATCAGGCTGCCCCCGCCGCCCGGAGAAGGAGCCCCACCCAGCACAAAGGAGGCAAAGCGGCCGACTAGCAAGCTCAAGTAGAGGTGGTAGAGCAGAGGTCACCAACCACTGTCGATTGGTGGACTGGAAGAAAAGGGAGGGGGAAGCATTTTACATGCGTGCATGCGTGCACGGGGCCGCGAGCACGCACACACTGCAAATGGGGTGGGGCTAGTGCCTGCATGATACTCACTAGCCCTGCCCCGTTCTTACGTGGTGCAGCGCCTTGTATCTGTACCCCGCGGCGCAGCGGTAGCCGTTTTTGCGCCTTGCAGCACTGTGGCCCATTTTTGGGCCCCTGGGTTTTGCGTGCCAGAGGCGGCACTCAGAGATGCCTCCCTGCCCCCCCCCCCAAGAGCACCATACTGCTGATGCGGCCCTGGCACGTTGCAATAAATAAGTGGGTTTTTGGTTGCGGTTTGGGCATTCGGTCTCTAAAAGGTTCGCCATCACTGAGATATGGGAAGTAATGACCCAGCATACTAAGGATTTTTCTTAAAAAGAAAAAAAAGGGGTGGGTGGGTAGGAATTAAATCCTACTATTTTCTTCCTACAAGCCAGTTCAATAACAGCTACCACTGCAACAGACCGAAGCTTTCATTCTTTGCAAAATGGAACAATTATTGCAA